TGGGGGGGGTGGCTGGGGGGGGATGCCTCTGCCTTGCCAATATTATCCCTGTGCCCATAATCCAGGGCAGCCCTCCACAAACATAGGGTGCATTGTGGAGCCCCGCTGCCCGTCGTACGTCTAAGCCCTTGATGCGAGGGATTGTTGGTGGTAAACGTAGCACGCAAAGTTTGCCATGAACTGGGCAATCATCTGGATTGTGTCTAAATTAAACCTCTTTAGGGATGCGGCCACGATCCCCTTCCTTTGGAGCAGTGGGGCGGGGGTTGGGGGGGCACGTTAGCGAAAACTGAAAATTTGCAAAGCGTTTGAGCCCCCGGTCAGGTTATTTCCCAACGCTCCATGCATCCAGCCTGCAGGCAGTTGGCCGCGTTTTATTGCTGCCTGGGTGTGTGAATTGTGCCGGCTGAAGTTGCCGAATGCATAGGCATATCCTTGCCAAGTAATGCAGGGCAGAGATCTGATGGGTGTCAGAGGCTTTGGAGAACTTTATTCAGATTATTTATTGGCGCTTAATTCCCTTGCGCAAATGACATTCCGCGCGATCGGCTCCGAGCAATGCAATTTTAATCCTTGACAAGCACCGATGATATTTGCCTCGTGTTTTGTGTTGTTAATTAAAGGTGCTTCTGCGGATTCTTGAACACAGCACGCCCTGAGACGCAACGTTGCTTCAGCGTGAGCCAGTGTTCACATCGCAACTCTGAACAACAATTCAACAAAACACACAAAGTATAGGGTATATAGCATTTGTTCATGTAATTGATACAAAAAATATCATGATGTGCATTGCACTGACTCAAAGACGCAAGCTGGTGTCAGCTCATAAATAACGGACCGAGCACACAAGGACTTTGACATTTTCTTTTTACGTCTCTGTGTGCCACACGTACAATTATTGCCGTTTTGCTCGTGCCATTCATCTGGTCGCTGTTTGACAGACGCCACCTCCCATCGCCAGTGGGGAGCCCCGACCTTGCCGCTGTGTGCCGTGCGCGTGGTGTCCTCTTGACTGCCCGGCTCGCCTGCCCCTAGTTTGTAAACAACAAAAATCAATTAAAAACAACCCACGATTGAGCTGTGCCCTGCCAAGGCAGAGTTTGCCCTTGAGCTTGAACTCTGCGTGAACCTGCGACACAATTCGCTGGGAGCCGGGGCGTATCAGAAGTTTTTCCCCCGCCCGCGCCCTCGCTCGTAGGTGCGGTAGTGTTGCACGCACGCGACACTGCATGGGGAGAGAAGAAATCTGGCCTGACTGGTGTGAACCACCCAGCCCGGTCGAGGAAGAGACACGCACACACACACGCACACACACACAAAAAAAAAGTTAAAAATTTGGGTACTTAAAAAAAACTAGTCATGTCACTTTAGGGTTACTGTATCAGAGCCCCAGAATGTGAAGAGACTGTCAGAAGGTACACTTTGGCATGATGCGGAGGCGTAAACTCGATAGCCGTACGTTTCTAAGCGATGCGTTCCACAGCACTCTCTTGTGTCTGCCTCCTCACTGCGTTGGTGATGCTGTGTAACCGCTCGGGTGATGTCGTCGTTGTCGTTAATTTAACTGTGCGGCTCGCGATCGGAAGCTTGCGAGTTGAAGTTGCCGTCAAGAGGGCGGCTCTGTTCTTCTCTGTCCCTTCATAGTTGATCACACGCGTCCTCCTGTGGGAAGTCGAACAACAGCAGTTGTCCGATGGAATACCTCAACCCTCCGTAGAAATGTGGAATTTCCAGCCGCTGGCTTCGCCCAGTGAAATTCAGTTGGAAATATAACCCACGATTATTATTCGCGATCGCAATACTGCATGTACTGTGACACGTTTTTTTAAAGCGGTTGTGTTAATATAGTCGACTTATTTTGCATTGTCACGAAAGTTAAACGGGCGGTTTGGTGCTTCTGCTTTGGCAGTGGTGCACATGCGCTCCACCTCTCTGGGTCTCTCTCGGTGTGCTGTGAAGAAGGGCCATTGCCCGAAACGTCTTTTTAAGGTGGCTGATTTCAACAATTGATATCATTCATCACAGCCACGGTTATTTTAGAACAGACTGAATATCGTTTTACCACCCTTAAACTTAATTTTAAATATGAGGGTGAAAAAATATTCACTGGGCTAAAGGTTGAAGAAATCGGCCTTTGGTCTTTTCAGGCAGAGTACTGAACTTTTATTTAAAAATAAATATCGTCCCGACCTTTCCTGCCCGCCACCGCCGCATGCGCTGCCACCGGTGCCATCTCTTTACCTGTGTGAGCTGGGCGACACTCGACCTCGACTTGATTAATAGTTCGCGGCGCCCGAACACTTCTGCTAATATCACGAGGTGTGCCGTTTCTGTGTATTTTTCTGTTTCTCAGCGTCAGAAGGGATGTGTGGTTTGTGATCGCGGTGGTGGTGACGGTGGTGGTGGTGGCGGTAGTGTTTCACAGACTCGCATTTTATGGCGGGACCTTGTTTGTCCATGCAGCACGGTGTAAATAACCACTGCCAACGCTGACAGCTCTCCGATAAACGCCCGGTGCCACTCGGCCATGTAAATAATGCCCCTTATATTTCATTCTGTGTGTCCCCTGGGCATTTTCTGACAGCATTGGTAATAAATCCCTCGGTTGTATTTGTTTCTTCCTTTGAGCGATCGTTCCCTGTAAATGCATAGCCCTCTGTAATGCGTCTTGTGATAAATCCTTTAAAATACGGTGATCATTTTCCAAATTATTATTATTTAATGAAACATCGCGTTTTCATTATGCTTCTCTCCTGAGAGTATACGCATACTTGGGTGTTAGTAGTTTGCAATTTATGTAGTGTACAAACACTCATCGGCTCAAGATTATTTTCATGGAAATCCTATAAATACAACCGGCTCATTCAGACAAACTAAAAAGTTAAATGAAATTGAAACCGCAACAAAATCACCAAAGAGTATCATTCTACTTCCTTTTGCCAGGATACCCATGGTCCTGTGCCGCGTCATTTAAGTTGCGTTGTATTCATGTGTAGCGCAGTAATCCACAATGTAGTGCGTTATATAATACAACTTGGATTCATTTTCAGATTACTTGACAGCCATGAATGCCCACATGATATAAGCCACTTCCATGAGCGATCATGTGTGGACAGGTCGCCTCTGAGAAGGAGCTCATGGCTCAGTGGGCTTTACCTGCTAAGTAGAGTAGTTTGGTTTTTAGTTGGATTTAAATTGGTATTTACGTAGTAGCATCCAAATGTAACCACTTTTCAAGATGCAGCAAATTACATTTTCGTGAACGATGACTAATAACAGACGTGTAACATGTAAGGTAATAGATAGACTGACGTCTTGGGCATGGCTTGTCTTCGGAGCAGAAGTCAGGCTGAGCAGTGGCGTGCATTTGGGTTATTTATATTATTTTACTGCAATACATTTCCACGTAAAAAGCCACTTTGTTGAGCCAGCGTTTGTGGCCAGGTCGCTTATGAAAAATAAGCGAATAGCTAAACAGGGCTTTATCTGGTAAGATAAAAAGTAGTTTCGTTTTCTTATATTTAGTTTTTTCCCTATACTTTGGCGCTCCTGTTGTGTTCTTTTTCTACGTGTTGTTTTGTTGTGGAAACGTTTTGACCCGGTGCCGCTACTGGACATGAGCGAAAAAGAGCTTTATAGCTCATCGGATTCCTCCCGCAGGACAAATAAACGTTCTGATTCTGACAACTGCACGCAAGCCGCCTCGCCCGCTCGTGTCGTTGTGTGTCCGCTTCGTGTAACCGCCATCGGTGTACTGTCTGTCGTCGTTCAGACATCGCTGGCTAAGCAGAGAAGTCCCTTGAAAACATAACAAAAAACTATACCCACAAGCTGTCTTGTGGTGGGAATATATAATATAAATATATATTATTAAAAAAAAACAGCTCACAAAGGGATGGTAAAGCCATTGCCTGAAATCAGTCAGGAAAATCCAATTGGGACTTTATTATCTTCAAACATGTCCTTCTCCCCTTGGTAAATAAATTTGTCCCAGTGCTTTCAAATGTTCTTTGACTTCATCTGTCTGCAATTCATCTCGCTGAGATTTCTACGAGATCCGTTGAGGCACCTAGGAAGCTTTCATCATCTTTACGGTCTCTGTTCTTTTATTAAAATTATTTTTATTTATTTTAAAGGAATACACGTTTAGTTTTGACATCTTTTAAGCATGCACATATGTGTGGTGTATATAAATGCTGCATGCATTGGTCTATTTCAAAGTGATTGTTCATTAATTGTCAATATAAGCCTCACGCCTCGTGCTGGATGCTTTTATTCCACTGCTTTCAAAGATTTGTGTCCAGTTTCTTGATGACGCAAACACTCTGGGAACCCGGCGACCTCGGTTCGATTCGTGGCCACGTCTCGCGTCGGTGGCGAGTGATATTTATTGGAGCCGATCTTGGGCATCCCTCGACCAAGATCAGCGTAGACAGCTTGGGGCGGAAGCCTCCATTCATCAGTGGTTTTACCAAAGGGCTTACATCATTGTTGGTATAATTTTATGTAAAAATCATACAGCTTACTCCCATATTTGTTTCAGTAGCATTTTTTCACGCAGGTGTGGCCCAGTGTTCTTTTAGTCAGCGACGGAGCATTTGCAGTTGCAAAGCTTCGATCGTGATGCCTAAACAAATCCACCTCAAACTTAATTTGGAGCTTTCGTGACTGCAGGAATTACTCTTTGGCTCTTTTGGTAAAGTCACGTATAAAGAGAAAATAATAAATTAAATACTAGCATACTTGTATGCTAGTAACCAAAGAGCAAATCCACCTTTTCCCCCACAGTCCTCCGCCTCCACCACCGCCGCCCCCTCTCACGTTGTGTGCCAACCCCATGACCAGCCTTGCCTCCCTCCAACCCCTTAAGAAGCTGCTCATCGATAGCTTGACCCTTGTAAAAAAAATTGTCGTGCCGTTGTCCCTGACCCCCCCCCCCCCCCCCCCTGTGCCCCCTACCCCTCCCCCCGCCTTTCCCTCTCTGTGTTCTGCCTCCACAGCTGCTGGACTTGTTCATGGTCTGGGACTGGTCCACGTACCTGGCTGACTACGGGCATCCCAACAACAAGTACCTGCGTGTCAACCCAAACACGGCTCTCATCCTCCTCGAAAAGTAAACCGGCCTCGACTTGAATAAGAGATTACCTCTTGTTTATTTAGACTGGGGGTGGAGGGGGGGGTGAGGGAGAGTCAATGTGAAATTCCGCCTTCACTAAGAAAAGCGTTGGCGGTGCAGTGGGTAGCGCGCACTCGTCTGTGGTATTGCGACAGACGGGTGCTTTGGCTGAGCGGGACCAGAGTTCGGGTTTGAACTTAAAAGCTCGCGATTAGGAGCCCTGTGTCATCCTCCAATCGAGCCGCGTGTACAAACCCGTGACCTGCAACTCCATTAAGAAATGTACAGCTCGGTTTTAAAAAAAATAATAATGTAAAATAATAAAAATTAAACATGATAAAATACAATTTTCACGACGTTTCGGCCACAACGCAAGCAGCCGTCCTCAGGTGAAGAACAGGTCTGAGGACGGCTGATTGCGTTGTGGCCGAAACGTCGTGAGAATTGTATTTTATTATGTTTAATTTGTATTATTTTATTATTTCCCTCTACGTGACTTTACCGAAAGAACCAAGAAGATGAATCCCTGCAGTCACGAAAGCTTTAAATCGAAATTTAATAATAATGTAATCGGTATGCCAGAGGAGATTTTGGTGAGTGAATATCCAAATAGTGGTTGCTGTGTTTTGTCTGCCTTTGATGGGGTGGGGGGGGGAAGACACCTGTGATGCAATTCTATCTTTTTTTACACCATGTAATTTTTTCGAAGGACAATTATGTGAATTGCTAACTTGTGGACGTTATCAGCCAAACATTTTATCTCTCCAGTCTCCCTTTGCTGCTTGCTCTGTTCTAATGCTATCCGTTTCTCCTTTCCAATATTTTTCCTCTTTGCCGAGTCAGAGTTAACAAGGGGTGAGTATGGAACGAATGGAATCGGCAATTATTACGCGCGAGTGACGGATAATTTAAGCATTTTCTCCTAATCGCAACTGTTTCGTTAACAAAAATAATAAAATTATAATTATACTGCTATGTCACAATTTTCATCATCATCATCAACCATGATATATCCACTGCTGGATGATAGTGTCCCCTGCCTTTTAATGCAACGATCTGTCCATCACTCCATCCGCTCTGTGGATGTCCTCTCAAAAGCAAAGATCCCCCGTATAGCCGTATAAGACTGTAGGAGCAAGTGCTGTTAGCGAGCACTTATGAAGATTGGCACGGCACACGAGGGCGTGGGTGGGCTAGCACCACGCCCGGCCACCTTCATCTCCCCAGTGATGTCCTCTTGCCTCTGTTTCCCTTCTTCTGCTGCCACTTATCGTCGGTCTCAACGACCACCAGCCCTTCTAGCGACGTACCCAGCCAGAGGCTCGCCTACTTTTTCTCAACAGTCAATACGACGGCCCTGACTTGTTCTGCTGCTATCTATTCGATGGACATCTGTGAGCTTCATCGCTCATCAGATTCCTCCAGGATAAATCAAGATCCTGATTCTGAATGTGCTTAAAAAGAGCACGCAGCTCATTCAGTAAGTAGTTTTTCACAGCCGCTCGGCATTCAGGTGTGCGGTCGGTCTTCTGCGTTGGCCCTCGCGTGCCGGCCACGCTTCTCGGGAGTGTACGGCTGACTTTGTCTCGCGCTCGTCTTGTTCAGGATGAAAGACCACACCCGCAAGAGCAACATCTTTGCACAGTTCCGGAAGAACGAGCGGGATAAGCAGAAGCTGATCGAGACAGTGGCGAAACAGCTCCGAAGCTTGGCCAATGGGACCGCCCACCACAGCTAGTGCGCGCATGCTGCCGTGCGCGATCGTGCCCGACTCAAACCAACCGACCCGACCCGACCCCCACCGGCTGGACTGGAGCTCTGCGAATCCTTACGGAAAGACTGCAACCTCCAGAGAACTCGACGCTTCCCCCGAAGGATTTTTGTTTGTGTTTTCTTTTTTATATAATGCCTGTGGTGCCGCCCCCGGGTCAGACACCGGGAGAGATGACTCGCGTCGCTCCGCTTTTGCCTCTTAATCGACGGGGAGCGACGCGGAGACTTCCCCGCGGCCCTAAAACCGAGACACGGCCCTCTGCCGCCGCCGACATTCACAGCGAGCGGCTTTGGGATCGCCCTAAATCCTCCGGCGAGCGGAGAGCGAGCGCCACAACTCCCCCTCTACCCCACGCCTCAAGTGCGTAATTCCCCACACGGTCATGCGGCCAAATCTCACGCGAGCAACTCTCACGCCTGCTGGAGAGAGTTAACCTTTTGCCGAGTGCCTGCGCAAGTAACCGTCTATCCGTCCGTCTTCTCCTCCCCTGTCATGGTGGGGTGGGGTGGGGGAGAGATTTTTTAATTTTTACGGCATGACTCTCTATCGGTTTTTTTTTCAAGAAATCATGTTGCCAAGCAGGTTGCTGCTGCTGCTGCTACTGATGCCACCACCGCCACCACTGTGAAGCGGAAGAGACGTCACTTCTGAGCTTCGGGACTCTGTCCTGCTGCGACACGGCTGTGAGCAGCAGGGGTCCTTGGTCGTTTTCAGCTCCCGAGTCGGGAATCACGGACGCTTACTCATTCGTGGAGCGGGGGGGTGGGGGGGATTGGGCGGCGAGCGGGCGGGCGTTTTTTGTTCCTGTTGCTGTCGCCGCTTGGAAATGTTTGCCTAATCGAAAGAAAAAAATGCAAAGTACACCAATGAAATCAGATGATGCGGCTGCAAAGTTCATAGAATGCGGCCCCAAGGCTTGACAATTCGCAAGAGCAGAGTGGAAAAAAAAGTACGCTTTGACTATTGAGGGTGAGTACCAGGTGAAAGAAAACATACCTGGCTTGAAATTGACAAATTCCAGACCCAATATTTACTACAACATAATGACCACTCCATTGTATAAACTTCAAAAGATAAGCACACTCCTCCGGGGGGGGGGGGGGGGGCGGGGGGGTGGGTGGAGGCGAAGGGTTTGGGGGGCAGGGAGACGTTCAGTTCACGGCTTATACGAGAGTGTGGGCCGACCAGAGTGTGCCTGCTTGAAACCGTGCGTTTTGGTCTTCCGCGGATGTCGCTGTCACATTCGTCGTTTTCACCGCGGTGCACGTGCGGCCGTGCTCGCGCCCCACGGATGCGAGAAGGTCCGTCGGTTTTCTGCGCTCGCCAAAAGATGCGTAGCCGCATTCTGCCCCCCCCCCCTTCCCGGTAACGATCGCCCTTCGTGCCCCCCCCCCCCGTGCCCCCCAGCTAACAAACACAGTCGCTCGCAGGCTGTCTCAAATGGAATTTGTTCGGCAATAAAAATAATGAAATCCGCACCGCTCACAACCGCTCGTGGCAGCGCCGCGCGGCCTCGTGGCTTTCGTTTTATTTCATGTAAATAATTATTAAAAATGACTACAGTTTTTTTTTTACTCATTTTGCACAAAGCGTACGCTTCATCCACCAGCTTTTGCGGAGTGGAATTAATGGGGGACAGGTCGCGATTAATTGTGATTTCGTTGAAACTTACACACCGGCATTGGTTACTGGTTTTTTTGCGTGTGTGTAACTAATTACAAATAATAGTACGGAAATAATTCGTAAAATAATAATAATTATTACTACTACAACAATAATGTCTGCTGCAGCCAAAATGTGTAGTATAAGAGTGTTGAGGGTTGCTGAATTGATACAAATGGAGCTCTTTATAAGCGTTTCACGGTCCGCTACGATGAGCAGGGATGTTGCGTGTGTGAAAAAAAACAATCGTACACGGGGGGGGGGGGGGGGGAGTTGTCGATGTGTGGCCTGTACCTGCACTCATTGTGTTTCAGCTCGAATAAACTCAAACGTCGGGGGATAACGTCACGCGTTTTTTCCTTCCTTCCTACGCCGCCTCGTCCAGAGACGCGTGTGCAAATTTGTCCTGGCGTTGTTTCGGGGTGGGGGGGTCCTTTTTAGTTTTAACTTCACCGTGCTGGCGAATGGCCCGGGGGAGGGTTTCGTGTCACGTGGCTACTCCGAATGACTGCGGAAAAGAGAAACACATCTGGCTGTCGCCTGATGAAGCTAGTTGTAATTACTGGCGAAGCGTCGTACTCTGATTGTAAATGTCGTGGCTTGGCTCTCCAACACACCGGTTAGTGCTGTACTAGTATACTACACTATACACTACTATACACTACACTATAAACTACACACTAGTGCTGTACTAATGACGAATTGGCCACGTTCTGTTTACGTGACAACCCTTACTAGTTGGCTGTGTCAGGTGGTGGCGGGTTTAACGACATTTACGCGATCTAACCCAACAAACCTCTGGAAAAAGAAGCTGATATAAATAACAAAGAGCCATTAGCGACAATGCATCATTTGTCCCAATGCATACAGAGTCTACAGTGAACGGAGCATACACACACAATGGGCTCACTGTCCCTGCATTAGCGTTATATTTTAATGCAACACATGCTATATCTCTACTGTCGTGATGCTGTACGGCCCTGTGCCATGTATTACAATGCAACAAGGTTTGGATTTATATCGTGTCGAAATTGGGGTGGAGCGGCGACGCAGTGGTTTGCGCACTACGCTATGAATCCGGCCACCCGAGTTTGTCGGTCGCAGCTAACGATCATCAGTGGCGAGTTACAGCGGAACCGGTCCTGGCCTTTCGATCCCATCGGCAACTCGCACTGACCGCCCGTCGTGGTGAAGTATGTTCGGAACAACCCTCACGACCGACACGACGCGGTGGGTGGGAGGTTTTTATCCAGCAGTGGATGTCCAGAGGCCTGTCAACTGAAACTCTGCTGAGTGTGTGAATGCAACTGACTCTAATCGGCAGCGCATTTCAGGAAGCACTGCGTTACAACAGAAGCCGGCTCGATGCACACACCGTTGCGTTAACGTCTGCTTTGTTCACAGGCGAACTGAATCATCAATGATTGTAATTTAAAGGCATGAGTCCAGGGTCTCCCGAACTCCAGTCATCGCAACCCGCCACCACCACTCCCTCGTATTTCCGCGTTTGCCAATTTACTCCTCACGTTCAAATACAAATTAACTCGTTTCACGCTGCACGCGCCTGATGATTGCTAAACGCGTGGCGCTCCAAACAAGTCACCCTCTCTGCGTCACGCGCATCTCAATCTTCATTTGAATCGCGCAGACAGCGGCAATCGCGTGGAGCGACACGTGGGACGTGTTTCGCCATCTTCTGGCCCCGAGCAGCGCGGGACGAGTTGATTTGTATTCGACAGGGAAGAGTAAGTTGGTAAACGCGCGGATGTCCGTCGCGTGGTGGGTCCCAAGGAGCTGAGTTTGGGAATCCCTGCGCAACGGTGTTTCCTTGGTAGGCACGTTCAAGCTGCACATCCGAACACGTGCTCGTCAACATTGCAACGTGACGTGCCTTACTCATTGGTTCTTTCGGTAAAGTAACGTATGTAGAAATACAATACAATTTAAATGAATCACAAATACAATTTAAATAAATCGCGACGTTTCGAACGCAACACAAGCGCTCATCATCAGGTTATCTTCTTGGTTCTTTCGGTAAAGTCACGTAGAAGGGAAGTAATAAAATAATAAAAATAAAACATACTAAAAGAATATTATGTTTTATTTTTATTATTTTATTACTTCCCTTCTACGTGACTTTACCGAAAGAACCAAGAAGATGAATCCCTGCAGTCACGAAAGCTTTAAATCGAAATATATATTTTATTTTTAGCAGGTAAGGCCCACTGAGCTATATAGCTCTTTTTCAGAAGTGACCTGGCCATCACAAATGATAGATCAACGAAGTGGCTTATCGTGGGGAGATTAATAGCAGCCAAATACTCTGAACGCGTGATGTTGATTCCTAATGTGGACGGGAAAACCGGAGGACCCGGAGAAAAATCCACGCGACCACGGAGAGAATGCGCAAACTCCAAACATACAGGCATCGTCAGGGTCGGGATCTAATCCACGACCTCCTGTATACCAGGCGAGGTCGTTAACATCTCGCCACTGCGGCGCCTACTTTGTACGTTGTAGAAGAAGGTTCATTGCCCGAAACGTCGTCTACTTTGTATCAATGCCAAAAGCAGCAGCAGCACCACCACCATCCACCACAGCGATGTGCTGTGTATATGCCACACACACACGGCGGTCGACCATCCAAGACACAGCACTGCACAGGCTAAACTCCGCTTGGCTTTTCGGGTCTGATGAGCTCAGGGTGCATTCCGGGCGATTTGGTCACTGGCGACACAGTATACAATAGTCGTAACTTACAACAACGGGCCCAAAGTTATTCTTTTCATTCACTGCGGGCGCCATCGGCATGCCACGCACGTGCTCATATTAATGAGTGTAATGGCTGCGCTAATAGAACTATTATGCAAATCAATGCGAGGGCAAGTTGTTTTACGCCGTTTGCTCGGACTGCGTTATATATTAAACATGCCCTGATCGTGTCTGATCGTGTCTTGCGGTGGTGCAACAATGCTGCCATTGAGAGGTCGAATTCCCATGCCAGAGTCGAGGACATTTGAATTTCATTTTTTTGTTTTTGTCCAGCGGTGCAGCGTCTTGCCCCGTGTGTGCGTGGTCCATTTCGGCGTAGCGGTTTCGCGTTGGTCATCAAAAAAATGTTATAACAAAACTTTGTTGACGCTACGAAAATGGGTCGTGCCGAGTTGGGATTCCTGCTCGCAGCCAGCAACATGGTTTGACGAATATCTCGAACAGGTCTTGGGCTTCGCCCTAGGTCGACTCAGCCGTGAATAAGGCTCTGGTCGTGTGCGGTGTGCGTCACCGTCGGCACTTGGGGAGAGACTCCGGACTGCCCGGGCGTGATGCTCACTCACCCTTCCCACGTGGTCGTGCAAGGTTGCTCGCGCAAAGACCTTGGACCCAACAGTCTGTTAAATTCTCTACGCAGGGGATCCGTGTCTTTGTTGTTTAATTTTTTTTTTACGTGAGTTTTAAGTTAACTTACAGATTTAATTTCTCTAAGCTAACATGGCACAGTGAGTCGGTGGGGGGGGGGAGGTGTATATATTTGTTTTTATTTAAAAAATGTGTTCAACTCGCGTTTTGCGATTGTATCCTTGTCTGTAAAACGAGCGCATTGCCACGCACATTGAAGGCATCATGTTCCCGAGCAGAAATGATTCGCTCTCCCGCATGTGTGCTCGTCGTTGTTCGGGCGGCACGCGTGTATCTGCGTACCCGACGTCACCGCGATGAGAACGGTAGTTTTCCTTGAGTGGGACCCTCGCGTTTCGTCTTGTGCAGTGAGCCATATTGACGCGTGCTTTCAGTTAAATTACCTTCAATGTCCATCTTGCACTCGAGTTAAACAGCATAATGCACGGAGGGTAAGCGTGGCGATTCATGGAGTGCACAAACAACTCATTAGCAGCGATGGACCAATGCCGATGGTATAATAATAATGATTCTAGATTTGAAGCTTTTGTGACTGCAAGGATTCATATTTTTAGGTTTTTTCGGTAAAGTCACGTAGGTAAAAAAATTACAATTTGTATTAATTTTAAATTTTTATTAATAATAATGATGTTCACGGGAGTGTTCGTACGTGTATAGAACACACGTGTACGTTTACGGTTGCGAAAGAAGTTCAACATACGTATGGGATATCATCGTTACGCGTTATCGCGAAAACAGTTGATTGTGTATTCTTTCTCCAGATAGGTAAATAAGTACACGTGCTAGTCCGGGAAAGTGTCCACGCCGTTTCCGAAGTTTGCGTTAAACTTTTTGTGCGCGTGATTTTCTTTTTAACAGTTTTCTATTCACTCAACACAGACACACGGCTCATCGTATCTTGCAGTATTCTTAGGATTATTAAGATGCACCTACATTTTAAAATGTTTTTTTTTTAAGTTATGGTGCGTCTTATATTCCGGTAGGGCGTGCCTGCGTGCCCATATTTGTCTAA